CTAGTTCATCCTGCTTGTTCCCCATGCTCCTAGCATTAGTATATAGGCACTTGAGCCCTGCTGCTGGTGCCTTTGCTGCCCCCCAACTCCGAATCCCAAGGGGCCCCTCATTTCTTACCTTCTTGTTGCTTACCTGTGCTGTAGTGCTGGCTGCCCCATGGCTTGCAGGTTCCCAATGTTCTCCTTCTTCAGGCTGGGCTGTCCTTGTGGGTGCCACATGGTTTGGTGGTCCACAGCTTCCCCTGCCCTCATCTTCCCCTCCCCACGACGAGCCTAGTTTAAAGCCCGCCGGAGGAGATCGGCCAACCTAGAAGAAAACACAGGCTTAGCTTTGGGGGACTGGTGAAGCCCATCCCAACTGAGCATGTCCCTGTCCAGGAAGCCTGCCTGCCTCGAGACACCACTGCCGAAGCCGCCAGTTTGTCTCTCTGATGCAGTTCTCATGCCGTCTTCCACGTCCGTTCACTGGTAGGATAGAAGAGAATGCCACCTATGCACCGAACTCCCTCAGCACGCCGCCCAGAGCATTCTAGTCCGTCATCAGGTGATCGGGGGTTCTCCTGGCTGTGTCATTAGTACCCACATGGACTAGGACCATGGGGTAGTAATCAGTGGGCTTGATCCTGGCCTAGATTACTTCCGTCACATCCCGAATCTTTGCTCCGGGCAGGCAGTAGTGTCCTCTCATGTTGAGGGGTCCCGGCGACAGATGGGCCCTTCCGTACCTCTCAGGATGGAGTCGCCTATGACGAGCACTCGTCGCCTCCTCCTCTGGGTCCGCTTGGATCTCTTGACCTGTTTGGAGCATGGAGAATGTGGTGTTGCTTCCTGCCCAAGGGTTTCCTCCTCTCCTTCCATCTCCTGCAGGGTCGCCAGGGCCTCGTACCTGTTCTCCAGTCGGACTGGAGGAACTGGTACCTGTTCGCTGCGAGCAGGTCCAGTCCTGGATGTGCCCGTCTGCCACTCTGCTGTGGAGGGCACTCCCCGGGCTGCTTCTTCCTTAGGTGCCTGGTCCTGCACGGAAAAGAAATAGCCGTCAATTTCATCCATCCTTATGGGGAAGTGGAAAAGACAGTGATTTGGAGTAAAACATTGCAAATAAACCCTTATATAAGTTTAAAAAAAAATTCCTTTCGTTGCTATTTTTAGTTACATGTGAGTCACCTATTATTACTTGCACCTAAAAAATAAATTTTTCTCTTAATGCATATACATTTGTAACTGGCATGTAAAGTGTTGTATTGTTTAATCACCACCAACCTTCAATAATGTTATCAAGCTCAGTGATTACGAACTTTATGCCACTTTAGTCAAAATGCTGAATATTGTAGCTCTGTATATGCAGCTTCATCTGAGGCATTATCTTGGGTTTAGGTGCATCTAGCACATACATTTCAGGAAATTGATTAATGTGCCTATTGGATAATCCACCATTTTATGTTTTCATTTGCTTTTCCTTAACTTTCCTTCTAGGGCATCTTCCTCCTCCCAGTTATCCACTCCTGATGATATAGTTCACTCCTGATATATCCACTCTTGCTGGATAGTTCACCATTATTTGCATTACCCTTGGAGTGATGAATTAAGCAGAATGCACTGTATGAAAAATGGTTTAATGAAAACTCTGCACATTGTGCCTCATGGAGTTTATATCCAAGACAGGTTTAGCTAATCTAAGCAAGCAGAATGGGAAAACCTGGGTTGGAATAACTTGTTCATGCCATATCTTTGGTTATAATTGCAATGTGAAAGAGAATTATCCACCCCCTCCCACCCCAGCCCATTTCCCCCAACCCTTAGCTGTCTCCTCAGCATGAGAAATATAAACCAGGTGGTAGGGGTTCCTGTGTTGGATATACTTGTCATCTTAGTGGAGATATATATAGTGATAGCTGTGCCATTCTAAATTGAATTTGGTTAAACAAGGCAAAGGTCTCTTTTGTCTTAAAAATAATTTATGTATAATATGATAGGCTTAATTATGGAGAACCCAAATTTTCCCCACTAAAGGTAAAGTGAGTTAATGAGATAAAAAGAAAGAAAGGTTATGTTTTGGCAAGGAAGAAAGGGGATTATGGTTCAATACCCTCTTTTAACTAACCTTTAAGTGGGCAATTAACATTTACAGAAAATAAAGTTTGGGGAATTCTGTAGAATAATTAGAGAAATGGGGAAAGTAGCTAAAGGTCTCTGTTCTGTTAGCAGGCATTCTTTTACATCATACTGCTGACATACCATAAAATGAAATCTGTGATGCATGAAGGACTGCACACATACTGTGGTGCCATAAATATATCTACAATGGGAGGCGTTTACTTTTCCGTTTTTACGCTGATTTAGTTTTAGCTCTTGACTCTGCCAAATTGCATTCATCTGAAGCAGGGGTTATGAGGTACCACTAGCTCGTATACTTTTGAGTTCCAGTGTATTTTGAACCTAGTATAAAAAAGGGATACTTCTTATAAGTATATGACAATAAAGGTCCAGCCCAGCTAGTGCCAACAGCATTTCATGTTAAAACACAATGAATATTATAAAAAGATTTTCCCATATTAAAACTGGTGCCCAATGAGCATAAGCATTTACATCAGAGAGGATGTAATCTGTCATGTATATCTAGAAGTTCTAAAGGACTGAAAGTATTGTAGAAGATAAGATGTTAGTGGCATTAAACTTTCACTTCACTTAAATTAATGTATACAAGGAACAAATACTGGAGGCATATTGATAATAGGGTTCTTTATTTCCATTTGTATTCATAGTTAACAACGGCCTTCATAGGGAAATCTTGGGGGAACATGTGAGAATTACCTTCATGTAGATCATGCAGCACTTTCCCCCTCTTTGTTCAAATTCTTCCATTATGGAAAGCAGTTCTTGAACTCTGTGGACAAGTACTTCATGTTGGTTTGGAATACATACTATCAAAAATAGTCCTGCTAATTGAGAAGGTGTAAAGATCTGTGAGAGAGGTCAGAAAAGATCTTTCAGTTTTCCTTGTTGTTATGACAAAAAATGTACAGTCCCTTACATTTCCATAGAATGGATTCAGGTCTGGTTTTCTGTCAGTTTTACTGCCTGCCCAATTAGTTTGTCATAAGTTCCAAGTAAACAATAATAACCTGTTGACATTTGGCAGGGGGGAAGGAGGTCAATCTAGGAATTAGTCCCTTAATGGATATGTACAACAGTAATTTTTCTTATTAGTCTGATAATATTGTACTTCTGCGTTCCTGTAGTTGAAGGAAAACATTTAAGGTAACATGACCCTTTATATATATTAGTATTCTCTCTCTCCACTTTTTTCTGAAAGACTTGACTTTCCAGTGGATAAGATTAAAATGTTACTTATATGTCCCTTCAACTAAGAAACACACACGTGTGTGTGTGTGTGTATGTATGTATGTATGTATCTATCTATATATGTATGTATGTATGTATGTATATATAAATAAACATATGAAAATGTTATACATATAAAAAGAGCATATACATTTTACAATACATGTATATATACTTTAAATTTACTATAAATTTCTTCAGATTTTTAATAAGTAAAATATTTTTAGTTAAAAAAAAACCCTATATAAATTATGTCTGTCCTTTTCCAGGGTTTGGTTGATCTCATTAAATGTATAAAGATTTCTTTCAATGTGAAAGAGATGAGCATGTATATCTTGCTTTATTTAAGCATCATCGAGGGTGATCAAGCTGAAAAGTTTAAGCTTCATATCTGAGAAGTTATGAGTCTTCTACAATTCTGGAATATTTTCCATTTCTGTATAAATATCTTTCAAATTATATCTATGTATTGGTTTTGTAACTAGCCTCCCAAGATAGTAGAGTCCTGTTGTGTACATAAAAAGGGGCTTCTTTAATACTTAGTGGAGGAGACAAAACCAGGGATGAAGAAATGGTAGCAGCAAGTAGCTCATACTTCAATGGCTGCTTGTATGACAAGTGATTCATACTTGAACTTAAATAACTGTGACTTAGCTTGTTCTATTGACTGTGGGAAGAACATGACTCCTGTCAGACTGTTGTGGATATGTTGATGTCTGTATAAAAGAGATTAATTTACTGAGGTTTTTTTTCCCCTTTTATGTGGTCTGTGTGGTTATTGGAGTTATCTAAAACAATTTTTAAGTTTCAAGATGCTCTGATTTACATTGACATGCCATATAATCCATTTTATTAAGTGTTAATATCACAACTGTTAGAATTTAAAACTGATGTAATTTAACCTTGCTTTTTTCAGAATCTGGTGAAGAATCTTCCTGAACAGAAGGAACTCAGTGCCTTAGCCCAGTTAAAGGATGAATATGCTGATCTTTGTGAGCCAGAACAGTTTGGAGTTGTGGTATGTAGTAGCCCAATAATTCAACTGAGGGTTGTACTTCGTAGATGCAATGAAAATATTTTTCCCTTCAACTTTGTATTGGTTTTATATATATAGGTATTTATTCATAGAGTAGCAAAACTCAGGAAATTAAGATTCTTATGAGATGCAATCTCTACAGGTACTTGACAGACTTAGTGCATATAGAAGTGAAAGGAATAGTGATGTATAATTAACAGCTGCCTTCTATAAAAGGCATTTCTATGACAAATCAGATCTTGTATCTCTGTTCTGATTGACAGCACAGTGCTGTTGATAAATAATAAAACAGAAGTTATATTTAGGAGTTCAGAAGGATTCATTTATGCAGTGCCCCCTTTTTTTTCCTATGAATTGGTTGACATAATAACTAAAAGCTCAGCAGTTCAACGTGTTAATCTATATTATTTATTCAAAAACTATTTTCTTATAAGAAGGAACTCAGTGCCTTAGCCCAGTTAAAGAATGAATATGCTGATCTTTGTGAGCCAGAACAGTTTTGAAGTTGTGGTGTGCAGTAGCCCAATAATTTAACTGAGGGTTGGTTGTACTTTGTTAGATACAATTGTGCGGGCCGGGAGCGACCCGAGCCCTTTTCGCGCTGCACGCGGGCTGTGGCCAGCAGCCCGGGCACGCCTGGTCGGAGAGGGAAGGCCTTCGAGCTGGAATTAGGCACAGACGCGTATCGGTAGTTTAAAAGATTGTTTACTTACACCAAGATGGCAGTGGTGTAGGCTGGAAAGCTTGCTTGAGTTGCGGTTACAGACAGAAAAGAAAACAAAACTCGAACCTGTAGGGCACGAGGGTACGTCGCAAAGGGTTCCGGCGACGGGAAAAATAAACCTGCAGGACTCGAACCTGGGTAGAAGTGCTCTGGAGTCGTCTGGCAAGGACTCACACGAAGTTTGCTAGGCTCCGTGGGTCCGGTTCGTTTGCGCGCGGGAAGGGATACGTCTGGGACTCTATCGGCGACGGGGAGAGGCTAGAGGTTGATCAGACCTCTGTTGCCTGCTTGAAATGCGCTGGGTCCGTAAGGATCCGCAGCGCTTAGAGATCTTCACACAGCGTGAAGTCTCCTCCTCCCTTGTTCGTGGAGTCCTCCAACTTGGGCGGAAACCACTCAAGCCTCTTATACGGCTAGCAAGCCAATCACTAGCCGCCACGTGTGAATAATTTAGAACTAGCCAATAATGGGACTCGAATTAGCATGCAAATGGCGGGAACTCTTTGCAACGAGCATTTCTGTGCTGCAACAAAGAAATGCACCCTGCAAAGAAAGCTTCAAATTGGTGGGAAATTCTCCCTTGCACCGGGGTTCTCTTTTGCAGCAGAAAACTCCACCGTGCAAGGAAGCTATAATTTAGCGGGGATAATTTAGCAGTGCCGAAGCACACAAAAACAAAAATCACACCCTTTGGGTTGTGACAACAATGAAAATATATTTTCCCCTTTTTGTAAAAGTTTTGTATTGCTTTTTCCCATTATTGTTAATGTATGTTTTGCACAATATATATAGGGTTTTTTTGGTATAGATATTTATCTTCATATAGTGGCAAAATCAGGAAATTAAGGTTCTTACGAGATGAAATCTCTACAGGTACTTGACAGACTTAGTGCGTATAGAAGTGAAAGGTATTTTTGTTTTGCCATTGAAATAGAATGCCCACAGATAACTAAGAATTGTTAAGAATAATTAACATGAATCATTTGTTTTTTCTTTTTCTTTGCTTTGGCCAAGCTATGGTCCTAAATACAAAAACTAAAACCTCCTTAGCTTCATTAATTTCAGATCTGGAACTAAATGTAGGACAAATTACAAAAATGAATCTTAAATGCTGCAGATATCTTCCCACATAGGAAGTGTGATTTAGAACAAGGCTGTCCATCTGGCAGTCTGAGTGGTTAAATTATGGCCCAGGAGACTTGTTGGTTTGGCTTCTGAAGTCACTACAGTCCAGAAGGTTGCTGCTGACTTTTCACCCCTCTAGTCCTTTGTCCACCACTTAATTTAGGCTAAGTACAGACGTTCAAAAAACCTGATGGGATCAATCAGACTTATGCAGGTTTCTGTAGGTAGTAGGACTGTGCAAAACTTTGGCAGCTGTTTCGTTTTAGAGGTGTGTCAGCCCATTTTGGCAGACAAATCACCAAATCAAAATGGAAACCTCTGAAACATCTCTGAAATGAAATGAAAGCATCTGAGTTTTGGAAATGTTTCAGAATATTTTGCAGTTTCAGAGATGGGCTTGCAGGGAAACGGAAACTAAGATGACGGAGGGAGAAGAGTGGGGAAGGACTGCTCTGATATTGACACCTGGAGCTGGCCAGTGACCATGATCTTTCCCTGAGTTCCCTCCCAGTCATAGTGCTCTGGGGGAGGGATGGAGAAACAGCATATGAGGCTCTGTGTCAAGCTCGCTCTCTGCCTTTTCTGTCACCTGTCTCTCTCTTGCACCATGAGCAGCAGAGCACATAGCATCTGAAAGGTCTAGGCTTGCTTGGTAGCAATAGGTACTGGTAGTCTCTTGCTACCAAGTTGTAGTCAGTCCTTTCCCACTTACCCTTGCCTATCATCACTATTGTTATCCCTTTCAACTAATTCTTCCCCCAAAATCCTCTTATTTGTTTTTCTTATCCCCCCCAAACAAAAAGAAAGCTGTGTGCTTTCCCTTGTAGTGTGTCATCTATCACTGTGCAGAAAAGCACAACACACACAAATTATACACACACTTTCCAGCACACCAAACATGAAGGTGCCGGGTGTTCTGGCAGGGGAATGAGAGCAGGCAGAGGGAAAGCTGTAAATTTCCTCACCCAACTTAGATGCACCTTAGTTTCCCCACCCAACTTAGATGCACCTCATGCAGAGATGAGGCTTCTGCTGAATTGGCAGCAAAGAGGTGGGAGGTCTGCACCTGTCCTACCTCCACTAACTCCAGAAATAGCCACCAGCACCAGCATAACACTCTCCTCCACCCCGATTTCAACTCCCAGCTTGAGCCTCCCAGTGCCAGAGGAGGAGCTGGATATGGAAGCAGTGGAGCTCAGTGCCGTAGCCAGGGAAATTCTGGGGAAGGAGGGGGAATCTGAGTTTGTGCTCCACCCCCCTCAAAGTTCCCCTAGAGCCAGGTCTCCTTCTCTAGAAGGCACTTGGGAGGAGGTTGAAGTTGTGGAGGTAAGTGGCTCAACTGAGTAAGCTCCTTCTTTTGTTGTGCCTGTGCCTGTGCCTGCTGAGGAGAGGGATAAGACAGGATATCCCCTCCCCCCTTCTCCCAGCCTGTGTCTCACCCTCTGTCTCAATTTACATTTTCACTGACTGGCTTTCTTGCCTGCATACCAGCCTCTGGCTTCTTTACTATTTCTTCCATCCAGGAAGAGCACACATACTAATTGCAGATGCTTCCTCAGCCTGAGGAAGTGTTTTTAAACCCAAAAGCTTGTTAAGATATATTTCTCCAACTACTCGGTTGGTCTAATAAAAGATATCAGATTGACCCAAAGAACCTTGTCTTCCTATGTCCTTAGACCAACACAGCTCCAACCTACACATGCACCTTAACACACACAAGTGTCTTGGGTTTTGCTTTGAACAGTTTGAGGTGCAGTTTCCCAGAAACCCCTGGACCCATCTCCTTGAAACTTGGCGGACTTCATGCCCTCAGAAGGGACTACCATCCCTGCTGTTTTTGTCCGAATCAGCCAAAATTGACAAAGTTATAGGTATTTTAGTTACTCCCCGTTATAGTCTGTGGCTGAGTCTCCGAATCAGTGTCAAATTTCCAAAACAGGTTCGGCCAAATCAGATCAGGACAGTGATCCGAAATGCCGAATCTAATCACTGTCCCTCTGAAATGGCTGGATCTGAATCCAAGTTGGAACAGAGCCATTTCGTACAGCCCTAGTAAGCAGCATAGGTTAGTTTGGGAGTGAACTGAACCCATGTTTGCCCTTTGGGGCAGGGGGTAGGGGAGGCTGTTGGCGAGGGACCACCCAGGCTGCCTTCACTAGCTGAGGCCAGCAGGTTGAGGGCACTCTTGCACATCTTCCCATGGGCTCCCTAGGCTGCAGACTGAGCGCACTTGAGTGGCTGGGCCACCCCTGATTTGACTGCCAGGCATGGGAGAGCCCTCCTCCCCTATCATCATCATCATCCACTGGTACGTCAGCTGCAGTCAGGCAATGAAGGCACCCATGGTTGCCCACCCTCTGCAGCCCAGTCATGCTCCTTAGAGATGTGCCTGCTTGCAGGGGGTATAGGTTCCCTGGGTGAGCTCCTGCACACCCAGCCAGGGACCCCCTTTCCCTGCATGAGGGGCCACAGCCCCAGAGAGCCTGACTGGGGCTCAGGGCACACCCAGCTGCTTGTTTCCCCCCCCCCCCACCATCATCATCAGCCACTGTGCTGATTCAGCTCTGAGAGAGCCCAGGGTTGGGGCTGGCTGGGTGCTTGGCTGAAGCAGCCAAGTGCAGGATGAGTGGTAGTGTGCCTTCCTGTGAGAGGAGGGCTAGCGGGGGGCTGCAAAAGTGCCTGGGATACCAGTGGACAATTCCCTAATGTGAATCAATAAGGGGTCTGGTGCAGAAGTTTAGTTCCCCAGTCTAACCTAAATTGATTACGTTTGAGCGCACATTGATTCAGGTCTATCTTAAACTGGGTTCTGCTATTTTTAAGCCAGTCTATGGGTGCCACACTTCTGTATTGTTATGGGATTAGACTGGTTCCTGAGCAGTTATATTAGTAAACGTATAATATTTTTACCTGGCCTTGGAGTCTCCAGTCACTGTTAGTGACTAAAATAGATGGTGGGGAAAAATAGGGGTTGAACAGTGACAGCATTCAACTGCCCTGTGCTAAAGATGAGTTTTCTGGAAAGCCCAAAAGAAGCCCATGGTGCAGATTCAGTTCACAGGAGCTGATGCACTGGCCATCCTTGGTTTATAGCATTCAGTTAGGATTTGAATGGCCTAGGTTCTATTGCTGGTTTTGGCACAGACCTGCTGCTACGTCTTTAGTAAGTTGCTTCCACTCTCTTTGCCTCAGTTTTCCTACGTCAGTAAAGTTAAAGCAAGTTAATTATTTGTTCTTTGTCACCTTTGTGAAGTTGTAGGTAACCCCAAGGTTTATTTGCTTTTCATAGCTAAACATATTGGCCTATTGCCCCTTTTTCTGTGGAAAAGTGCATGGAAGAGTTAAATAATGGAAAATCTCTATTAACAGTAATAGAATAAAATTTGCCCACAATGAAACATCCCTCCTAACTTGCGCTCTCCCGCCAGTCTTATTTAAAGAACTTGTAAGAGTGAAGATGGCTTCAGTTTTCTTAAAATCAGAAACTTACCTTTCCTTGTCTGCTCTGTTCCAGTCCCTGCTAGTCTTGGTGAATAAGCTTTGATTTAATACATGTTTCTAATAGATATCAGGCTGAACTTTACATGGACTCATTTAAGTAAAATAAGGTTTTTGAGTGACCATCTATACATTCCATGTATATATACATACACGTAGCTAATGCATCTTGTCAGCAGGGTGCCTTCTCTACTATATCTGACTTCTTTTCGATAGGCTTTTTTCCTACCTTTCTACTAATTTCAAGGAACTCATCACTCCTGGTACCTCCTACACATTCATTAATGTGTTGTAATTGCAGCACATTAGGTTTAGTATCTGTAATGACGGGTACTAACTTAATGCACTGTAATTGACACTACTGCACCTTAGTGCAAATGGTCTTTTTGTGTGATGTTACTGCGTAGTATACTAAATTTAATTCACAATAGCGTGTTATTATGGGTTTTGCCTTCCGTGCTAATGCACAATAGAGTTAGTCTGCTGCGCTCAATGTGTCTTGTGTTGACGCACCCAGCATTTCTGAATCCGCTGCAGCCTCACCTTGGTAGCAGACCCTATACTATAAATGCAGTCTTTCCCCACCACTCCAAACTTTAGATTTTTCTTTTATAATCCTATATGCCACTTGTAGTCTGTGCCACTATGAATACATTTTTTGACAGCTACCTTTTTGCTTCTGTTTTGTAACAGTTCAGTTTTTTTTAATTCAAATAACTTAGCCATTGTGTTACAAACTATGTATAATTAAACTGAATATTAAAGTTATTAATAGTAATAAATTGGACAAATTAAATAAGAGTGATGTTACAATCATAATAACTTTTGAGAAGTAAATATAAGCTATCTTGAGGAAACACTTAAAACTGTAGTTCATCTTCCTGGTTAATCAGTAAAATGTAAGATGTGATTCAATGTCTTAATATGATTGCACTAATTATATTTAGAGTTTGCATTAAGTGATGATGATGTAACATCTTTGTTTTTGAAGAATGGAAATGGGACGGGGGGGAAATGCTGATATTGTGGAAGTCTCAAAATATGTCCTTTTTTGTGCACCAGCAACCCCAAGTTTACTTCTGATTGTGTTTAAGGATGTCATAGGTTAACTTTGACATGAAAAAATATGGATAATGAAAAATATAATACAGGTACTCCTCACTTAATGACCTACGTGTTTAACGACTGCGTGGACTTACGACCAGCTCTCCGAGCAGTCGGTACTCTGAGCAGGTAGGTCGTTAAGTGAGGAGTACCTGTATTGTGGAAACAGCGCGCCGCAGGTTCAGGGGACAGCTCCCGTGCTCGCGGCCTGGGCGGGGTGGGGCACACGGAGCGGGCTTTCCTCGCCGGGGCCGGGGCAGCTCCGTCGGCTCCCACCTGCCTGCAGGCGCAATGCCCCCGGCCCCACGCGACAACAGCCGGCAGGGCGCAGAGCAGCCCCGCGTGCGGGTCTGGAGGGTG